CTCTCTGGATCTTGACTTGTATATAGCATAATGCTAAACTCTTCTGTGTAATATTTACTCGGTTGATGCATCAAGAATCTTCCAATACCATCGATCTTGTCTAAGCCTTCATATGTAGCAATCAACCTTTTGTTCCTACTAATTCCTTGAGCGGTGAATCATCTAAAGATATTATAAGATCTCTTTCTTATTTGTAGCCTTCCACACAGTCACTAGTAAGACAATATGGAGAGAATAACCTCCTTCTTTTCACCAAATTTTTCCCAGCACCAGTGACAACACCTCAATCTTGCAACAACATGAAAATATTTACCCAATCTTCAAGATAGATAAGTTTCAAGACAACATCTCCCTTAATCATTTACAAATCTCTCATTATCAAGATCTGAAAAACAAAACTAAGGTTGAAGAAGAAACAAAATTGAATACAAGGGTTTTAAACTTTCAAAAGAGAGAGAGTGTTGATTTCACACAAAATCACAAAATGATTACGAAATCCTTTTATGAAAAGTGTTGACAATAGGCTTTATATGCAATGTTTTATAACCCGGACCGTTTCAGCCGGTCGGAACGGTTAGACCATGAACCGAAGAATAGAGTAGTTCGGTAAGATTATCATACCATAGTTGCAATTGACGCAATGAAAATCGTTGTTACCCTGATGGCTCACTGGTCGGTCCACTAAACCGGTGGGTTGATATTTTTATATTTATGTTTTAACTTAATTATAACTTGGATCCTCCTATTTTCATTTTTCTACTCTTGTTTTAAAATAAGATTTTATTATTATTTATAATAATTAAATAAGGTTAAAATTACAAAAATTATTTAATAGTTATAAAACTTATATAAAAAAAATTATTTCATGGTTTTTTTAATTTGTGTAAAATGAATTAAAAGACATGCGGTCCGATTAGTGACCCATTGGTATGAACAGTAATCTAGTGACACGATATCTTTACCGGGTCGATCATTGGTCCAGGATTTAAAACTGTGTTTATACATGCTTAAAATTAAGAACAAAAATGAGTGGTAAAAGTTGGGTATATTCAAATCAAGAATAATACAGAGTTTAGGTCAAATGGGCAAGTAAGTGGAATAAAACTAAATCAGAGTATTGACCGATTTTTTGCTTGATTTGAATCAAGTACAAAGCATAATTCGAATCAAAGACCCCGTGATTCGAATCATGTACAAAATCTGATTCTAATAAACTACAACAGGAGCTCATGGAATGTGTTGAAAAAACTGTGTGATTTGAATCGTGTGCAAAGTGTGATTCAAATCAAATTGAGCAGAGGTGACCAATAAATTGCTTGGTTCGAATCATGTACAAAACCTGATTCAAATCAATTTTTTAAAAAGATTTGGTTAACCCATGTTGAACTTTATTTGAATCAAAATTGAAGGTGAGAAAAGTACACAAGAAGGGGGGTTAAATTGTATTTGAATCAAAATTGAAGGTGAGAAAAGTACACAAGAAGGGGTGAAATACCTGATCATGGTCATAGAAAACAATGTTAATATTGAAAAGGTTGGAGCATATATGAAGGCACTTAAAAATGATCATAAAAAACTTTGGTAAATCATCAATGGGAAAAAGTAATGGAGCTATCACGAGAATTGAAAAGCTAACAAGTCGCCAATGAGCTAATTGTTCTCATCTTTCAAGTAGTAGGAATCAAACACGAAACTTTGCAATATTATTTTACCTTTTAGGGTGTCATTGTGTCTTTCGAAGTATCATCAAGTCTTACGGTGTATTATTTCATTTTAAGGAGGACGTGTCATATTAAACCTAACACGGGAAAATTCACTATATATGTCGTAATATATATATTCATCTCGACAATGACAAATCAACAAAAAGCAAACATCGTCGTTCAAAATCACCCAAACTCCCGTACGTGAAATATATCAACTTCATGCTTGAATATAACTAATAGGTGAGACATTATCAAATGAAGTTAATGGGTGAGCTATATTAATGACATGTCTGAACGCATTTGATATTCGTATTTAAAATAAAACTTTTTTTAATCTTGAGAGGAAGTATAAAATTGTTTGACCTTCAATACAACAACAAATCGAGATAAATCGCACGACCTTGAATATGGACGAAGATGAACTCGATGTTCATTTTAGCTCATAAATTAGATCATCTAAATGAACTCTCTGAGTTGAGATGTATTCACCAAGTAAAGTATTTTATATCGTCGGGTTGTGATTTACTTAACAAAACACCATGAATCACATATTAAGATAGTTTAAATTTCAATCTACTCGCTTTAGGTCACATGAAACGTTCGAAGAAGACTTGAAAAACTAATGGCAAGCTCGACACATTGCACTACATCTTCGATGGTGAGTTGCCAACTACATTACTCAGAAAACAAGATCTGCTAAGGTGTGACCGAGATGTTTGTCTCAAGAAATGACATGTTTCCTTAAACACATTGTGCTACAATATCGGCGTTAAGTTAAAAAGACTATATATACATGTCTCAAACTCTAGGTTGGAGACAACTTATAAAGCACTTTACCCCTTGCAGGTCTGACACCTAAGGGACTCCGACTCATAGGTTTTCTCCACATTTCGACTTTTTACAGGCTTTGTGTTTAAGGGACTATGAATCGTCATGTCTTTATACTTAATCACTTTGCCCTTACAAATCTTGTGCTTGAGGGACTATGAACCGTCATGTCTTTTGATTTAATCACTTCGCTCTTGCAAGCCTCGTTCTTTAGAGCCTGTTTTTGAGAGACTTTGAACTGACATGTCTATGGAGCCATTATGGTTATAAGGATTCAAATCTACTCAATATCAGCATATTCCAACCATTATGACCTTCATAGAGTACTTAAACCAGCGTGGGCAAGGTGATGCATGCACCGAGTCATGTTGGTTAGCTCACCACAATATGTTGCATGAGCGTCGTCTAATTACGGGGTCATCCCGACTTTGGGGCAAGAATTTGACTTAACTTCGAGTTATATAACAATTTTAAAAAGAATTGCACAACTAAGGTTCAGATGAAAGAACAAGATAGTTAAATGGCCATAATGATACAATGATCATAACAACCAAAATAATGAAAGCAAGAGTAAATAGGTATGGCTATAAATATAGCAGAAAAGACCAAGAAAATACATCACTTATACAGATATTGATCATATTGCAGGCAAGGCCACTGATGATGTAATTTTCACAAGTACCGACAAAAGAGGTGTATTGAAAATTAAAAAATAAAGTCTTACATAGACAAAGAGTGACACTTTCACCTTGAAAATCAGTTTTGTAATTATAAGAATGAGTTAATATAAAAATCTAATAAGTTAATTCATGTGTGGGATGATGCAATTCATAGACGAGGAAGCAAGAGTCTCGTGTGTTATTGAACATACACTTTACTGATTGTGTGTTTAAATGATTCCCTATTTCCTTCTTTATTCCCATTTCTCAACTGTTGTCACTTGATGAATATGTCCTCCCTTATCTATTTCTTTGTCAAACGATATAAAATGGGAAATAATGTGAATGCCAAAACATCAACCTAACAAAAATAAAAGCTTGGCTCATAAAAACTCATTTATATATATAAATAATATATCAGTATTCTGATAACAAGTACATTAGTCAAAGTTAGATGCCAGAACAATATATTAGGCACCACAAATTCAAAAGGTGGATGCATATAATAAGTTAAGCTTTAACTGATGTTTCAATTGCAACCTTTCTAGAATACTTGACATTTTTACTCTTGTCATCAACTTCCCACAGTTCTGGAAATGCCTCCTTCATATTATGGATGCTCTCCAATGCATAATCCACTCCTTTAGTTCTAAGGGAAGTACCAACCTGCACAATTTGATTCATACACTATTTAAGTTTGATATGATGCTAATGATTTTCAGTCTTCAAATTGTACATTAGCAAAGTCCTAATTCAAGAATAAGAATATGTGCATACATAGATTTGTCAAAATTCAACAAACACATGTAAGAAGTTCTATTCAATTTAACCAAATGAAAGACAGTGCATAAAAAAGTTTGAAAAGTAAATGGATGATTGTGTCAACATAATAGTATTACTAATATTAATATTTTGTTCATTCATCGACAACTGCAAGAACTACCTACCAAGACTGTGTGAAGGCCCAACGATTTTCCTGTCTGAATATTGCGGATACTGTCATCAAAGAACAACTACAAAACATGAAGTTACATAATTGGTTAGCACATAATCAGAAAAATAATAATAAGCGAAGGATAAAAGCTTACCGTTCTTTGAGGGTCAACATCTATCATCTTAAAAACCTTCTCAAATGAATTTTGAAAGGGTTTACTGACAACTGGGGTCTTCGGAAGAACAATATCAGCATCAGGATTACAAATATACTGATAAAAATCAAATACTCCTGCGGAAGTTTGTTTATATTCACTGCCAGGAGAATTGGAGTTATTTGATTTGAATGAATTTAGTGTCTCAAAGCTTATGATTCTTTCAAAACAATCCTCTAGTCCAAGCCTGTGAAGCACTCTCTTTGCATGTGCATCGTCTGCGTTTGTAAATATCTATAGAAAAACAAAAATACTATTAGCGATAATTTATGAATTATAGACCTGACATGATCATGAACTACTTAATCAAATGTTATAGCATCAATGTTTATTAATTATAGAAGTGTTTATGAATAAATTGTTTGTCTATTTCTTTAACAAAAGATAAAATCGAAGTGATTTCATATAAGTTATAACCCGTTTCTAAATAAGCTATCATAGAGAGTTTATGCAAATAAGCTCAAAACAACTTTATGACTATTAACGTCCAGACGGGCACTCACAGGCTGGACACGCGTCTGTCCGTTTTTTTTAATGCATACAATTTTACCCGTCATAATATTAATAGATATAAGCTTAAATAAATCAATAAAAACAGATTTTATATTACATACTACTTTGGCTATCAAATCAAATCAGAAAAAGAAACTTACAATTTTTCAAAAGGGTAGACTCAGCAAAATTCCCCTTAGAACATGATCAGGTTTTAGCAAATTATATGGCAATCTTCCATGAACAAAGCTGTTCAACAAAAAAAAAAAGTTTCACATTAACTCTAACTATTTAATCAAATAAATTACCAAATAAAAAATTAACAAATCAAAAAAATGTAAAAATATTAACTTACCTATGAAAGTCATCATAGTCAAAATCATAACCAATAGCCTGATAGAGAACAAAAAAAAACAAAAATCATGATTCTTTCACCACAGCCTCAAAACAAAACAAAACAAAAAATACCTTTAATTAAAATAATAAAAGCTCAATTAATTAATTAATTAATATACCTTGAGACCTGCCATCGTTGTCCCATAAATCTTATATAAAGAAACACATAATTCAGGAACTTTATCCTCTTGAATCCCAAGCTTTTCTAGCATATACTCTGCAATAATAAATCCATCAAAACTAAATAAATAAAAATTCTACAAAATTGACTAAAATTAATCACATATATCATAATTTGATTAATTTCAATTACCTTGAATATTTTCGGTCACGTGATTTGACAATCCAGAACTAAAAGGATAAAGAGTATCATCCAGATCTGCAAATATCAAACAAGTTATTACAAATATTTAACCTAAAATCAGTTAAAATTAGTAAAGAAGCAAATTAGATTGAGAAAATGAAGTGGTTTACCAAATAAAAGACAATCGTATTTTGATTTTGATTCCTGGAACTGATCTCCGTTTTCCATTTTTTGCTCTGTAGTAGAAGTTGTAGGGTTAAATGTGAGATGATACAGTGGCAATGAAATGAAAGAAAAGAGAAGTTATGAACCAGTGAATAAATAACGAACGGGAATGTGACGGTGATAAATATCTTGTGCCACGTTGTCCACTCTCGTGTTGACACGTTGCGTTTCCTTTTCTTTTTTTGATTCTTTTTGTTTGATTTTGTGTTACGCGGCAACGTCCATTGTTGAAAAGCGTGGGAGAGTATTATATTTGCAGTACTTTTTAAGATGTTGACCGACGTGAAAGATGCTAATATTGTGCAAAAATAGCGCGCTGTAGGTGGTTGCAGATGTGTTGATTAGCATTTAAGGGATGTGGGAGAGGTATCGACATTGTGTGAAAAGTTTTTCTTTCTCCATGTGGTATTCTAATAATTTAGTGGTTGATTTGTGCCTTTATTGTATTCTATGGATGGAAACATATCTCGTGTGAACCATGTGATGTAAAATACGTTTATTCTATTTGAGAGGGTTTTGCAGATTTGTTGCACCGACGAACTATTGTGGGGGTTTAAATTTTTAATCTTCGGATTAGGGATTATGGCGTGTTGTTTTTCAGGAAACCCCTTTCTACTAAATGCTATTTTCGAGAGATTAGAGAGTTCTAGCACTTTGTTTCGGCAAACTAACGAATCCAACAATACCAATAAGGAAGAAGACGGCATTAAGGAAAGGAATACAAAGAAGATGAAAGATGATTAGAATAGATTAGTGGATCATTATAGTTGATAAAATAATTGTTAGTTAGGTAGTTATTAGTTAGTTAGATTAGTTGTTGTGTGATAAGGAGTGATCTATATAAAGGTTGTAATGTCATACATGAAGTCATAATAAAGTTTTGCTCTCTTCTTCAAGTATTAATCTCTTCTTTTCATTTTGTTATTTCTTCTTCAATGGAAGAATAACTCTATCATAATATGGTATCATTCGCCAATTCGATCCTCATTTCGCTGCTATCCAATTGAATCCTTCTTTGTTATCAGTTCTGCTTCCATGGCTCCTTCTCGAGCTTCATCTCTTGATCCAGCTTTGGATCAAACCTCACCTTACATTGTTTACCCCAGTGATGGCCCTGGTTCTGTTACAGTTTTTCCAAAACTCACCGGTTCCAACTACCATTCATGGGCTCGAAGCATGAAGAGAGCTCTTGGTGGTAAAATGAAAATTGAGTTCATTGGTGGATCTCTCCCTATTCCTGCTGATTCTTTCGATCCATCTCTGCATGCTTGGAATCGTTGCAACCTGCTTGTACACTCTTGGATCATGAACTCAGTTTCATATTCAATTTCTCAGTCCACCGTCTTCATGGAGAATGCGCTTGATGTATGGAACGATTTGAAAGAAATGTTTTCTCAGGGCGATTTCATTCGTATTTCTGAGCTACAACAAGAAATCTATAATCTCAAGCAAGAAACCAAATTGGTAACTGATTTTTTTTCTGATCTCAAAATTCTTTGGGAAGAATTAGATTTGTATTTACCTTTACACACTTGTACATGTCGCATAAAGTGTTCTTCTGAAGTTATGCGCAGTGCAAGATCTAATCATTCATGGGCTCGAAGCATGAAGAGAGCTCTTGGTGGTAAAATGAAAATTGAGTTCATTGATGGATCCCTCCCTATTCCTGCTGATTCTTTCGATCCATCTCTATGTGCTTGGAATCGTTGCAACATGCTTGTACACTCTTGGATCATGAACTCAGTTTCAGATTCAATTTCTCAGTCCATCGTCTTCATGGAGAATGCGCTTGATGTATGGAACAATTTGAAAGATAGGTTTTCTCAGGGCGATTTCATTCGTATTTCTGAGCTGCAACAAGAAATCTATAATCTCAAGCAAGAAACCAAATTGGTAACTGATTTTTTCTCTGATCTCAAAATTCTTTGGGAAGAATTAGATTTGTATTTACCTTTACCCACTTGTACATGTCGCATAAAGTGTTCTTCTGAAGCTATGCGCAGTGCAAGATCTAATCATTCATGGGCTCGAAGCATGAAGAGAGCTCTTGGTGGTAAAATGAAAATTGAGTTCATCGATGGATCTCTCCCTATTCCTGCTGATTCTTTCAATCCATCTCTGCGTGCTTGGAATCGTCACAACATGCTTGTACACTCTTGGATCATGAACTCAGTTTCAGATTCAATTTCTCAGTCCACCGTCTTCACGGAGAATGCGCTTGATGTATGGAACGATTTGAAAGAAAGGTTTTCTCAGGGCGATTTCATTCGTATTTCTGAGCTGCAACAAGAAATCTATAACAAGCAAGAAACCAAATTGGTAACTGATTTTTTTCTCTGATCTCAAAATTCTTTGGGAAGAATTAGATTTGTATTTACCTTTACCCACTTGTACATGTCGCATAAAGTGTTCTTCTGAAGCTATGCGCAGTGCAAGATCTAATCATTCATGGGATCGAAGCATGAAGAGAGCTCTTGGTGGTAAAATGAAAATTGAGTTCATTGATGGATCTCTCCCTATTTCTGCTGATTCTTTCGATCCATCTCTACGTGCTTGGAATCGTTGCAACATGCTTGTACACTCTTGGATCATGAACTCAGTTTCATATTCAATTTCTCAGTCCATTGTCTTCATGGAGAATGCGCTTGATGTATTGAACGATTTGAAAGAAAGGTTTTCTCAGGGCGATTTCATTCGTATTTCTGAGCTGCAACAAGAAATCTATAATCTCAAGCAAGAAACCAAATTGGTAACTGATTTTTTCTCTGATCTCAAAATTCTTTGGGAAGAATTAGATTTGTATTTACCTTTACCCACTTGTACATGTCGCATAAAGTGTTCTTCTGAAGCTATGCGCAGTGCAAGATCTAATCATTCATGGGCTCGAAGCATGAAGAGAGCTCTTGGTGGTAAAATGAAAATTGAGTTCATTGATGGATCTCTCCCTATTCCTGCTGATTCTTTCGATCCATCTCTATGTGCTTGGAATCATTGCAACATGCTTGTACACTCTTGGATCATGAACTAAATTTCATATTCAATTTCTCAGTCCATCGTCTTCATGGAGAATGCGCTTGATGTATGGAACGATTTGAAAGAAAGGTTTTCTCAGGGTGATTTCATTCGTATTTCTGAGCTGCAACAAGAAATCTATAATCTCAAGCAAGAAACCAAATCGGTAACTGATTTTTTCTCTAATCTCAAAATTCTTTGGGAAGAATTAGATTTGTATTTACCTTTACCCACTTGTACATGTCGCATAAAGTGTTCTTGTGAAGCTATGTTCAGTGCATGATCTAATCATTCATGGGCAAGCATGAAGAGAGTTCTTGGTGGTAAAATAAAAATTGATTTCATTGATGGATCTCTCCCCATTCTTGCTGATTCTTTCGATCCATCTCTGCGTGCTTGGAATCGTTGAAACATGCTTGTACACTCTTGGATCATGAACTCAGTTTCAGATTCAATTTCTCAGTCCATCGTCTTCATGGAGAATGTGCTTGATGTATGGAACGATTTGAAAGAAAGGTTTTCTCAGGGCGATTTCATTCGTATTTTTGAGCTGCAACAAGAAATCTATAATCTCAAGCAAGAAACCAAATCGGCAACTGACTTTTTCTCTGATCTCAAAATTCTTTGGGAAGAACTAGATTTGTATTTACCTTTACCCACTTGTACATGTCGCATAAAGTGTTCTTATGAAACTATTATTCTTTGTTGAACACTTGGTTTGACTCCACTCCATGCTTCCTCTGGTGTCTTGTCCTACAACTTCTTTGTAGGACTTCTGTTTATGAGATATGCTGCAGTAGCAGCTGCTTCACCCCACATGAAATGAGGCATTTTCTTTTGCTTAAACATACTCCTTATTATATTTACTAGGGTTCTATTTTTCCTTTATGATATCCCATTGTGTTGAGGTATATAAGGTGCAGTGATTTCATGACTAATGCCATTTGATGAGCAAAACTCATGAAATTCAGTAGAGTTATATTCACCCCCTCCATCACTTCTTACCCTACTAATTACTTCTCCACTTTCATTTTGAACTAGCAATTTGAACTTCTTAAACACATTTAACACTTCCCTTTTCTTAACCAACATGTAAATCCACAGTTTCCTAGTGAATTCGTCTATGAGTGTCATAAAGTAGATGTTTCCACCTACTGACCTTACTTCAAAAGGTCCACAAACATCTGAGTGAATTACCTCTAGTTTCCTGGTTGCTTTGAATGGTACCTCTACTTTGTATGAGCTTCTGGCTTGCTTTCCAGTACAACATACTTCACATACTTCTTCTGGCACTTTTAGTCTTGGTAGGCCTTGCACCATCTTCCTTTCATGCAGCATATCCAGATCTCTAAAGTTGATGTGCCCATATCTTTGATGCCATAACCAGTCATCATGCTTAGTCTCAGTCAACAGGCAATGATCTTCAATCACATTAATATTAATCCTGAAGGTTCTTTGCTTTGACAGTGGGGCTTTAATGATCAGCCTGTTCTTGTGATCAAAGATATTCATAGCTTTTGCCTCCATTCTCACGGTATATCCCTTATGTAATAGCTGGCCAATACTAATTAGATTGCTTTTCATGTTTGGCACATATAGCACATCAGTAATACATGCCTTCTTGCCATCCTTCCTATTGATCAAGATCTTTCCAATCCCAACTGCACATACTATGCTATTGTCTGCAAATCTAATACTTCTGTTTACTGATTCATCTAGTTCAGAAAACTAAGACTTCTTGCATGTCATGTGATTGGAACACCCTGTATCTAGATACCATTCATCACTTATTTCTTCTTCATCCTTGACTGTTACCATCAGCAACACTTCATCTAAGTCTGATCCTTCATTCTGAACAAACTTAGCCTCATCTTTGTTCCTTGGTACTCTCTTTGATCTGCATTCAGATGCATAATGTCCCCATTTTTGGCAATTATAACACTGAATCTCCTTCCTGGACTTTCCTTTCTTCACATACTGAGCCTGCAATG